ACTACTATAATCGGCTAACATGACCGACAGGCACGAAAATCGTCGACAGAGAGTGGAAACTAGCCGGAAATCGATTACACTCAACGACAAATAAAATAAATCGACGATTTGAGCGCGACGTAGCAGCGCGACGACATTAAACAGGATGACAGAAGCCGGGATAAACGGAAAGGGGGTGCAAACTATGCGCGACGCTGTTTTTCGCTGCGAGGCGGTTTTTTTCAGGGAGGGTGTATTTTTCACAACAGTTTTGTTCCAGTTATGAAAACGCGGCGCGCGATGATCGGGCGCTTTCACGCTTTTGCGCACATTTTCAGAGGCCGCTGTTCATAAAACGCAATATCCAGCTTTACGAGGTGCTCGCTAAATAATGATACAACTCGTTCAACGGCCAGTTGATTAACGGGGCGTCACGCGAAATCCATAAACGTTGCGTTCCCGCTCTATCTCCATCTCTCTCTTCGGTTGGATCAACGATCAGCGTCACTTAAATACCCCTCCATCGCGGATCGTTAATTAAATGACATGGCCGCGCGCGATCCATCCACGAGCTCGTAGATTAGCGATCGATATATTCTATACTAGGATACGCTAATGAATAATGCGCCAGAGCTACTAGCGCGAGCATTTCGGATCCGATTCAGGCGAAAATGTAAATATCGGAGATCTATACAGAGTGTTCCAGATTCTACCTCATCACGCGTTAATGGGAGGTTCCTCAGGCGATTTGGAGACGATTTTTCCTTAGCAAAAATGTCCAAGCACCAATAATTTGAGAGTTATGAACGAGTGAAAGCTTTTTTGTAAACTAATAGTCTAGTAAAATTAGACTTTGGCTTCATAAAAATTAGAATCAAGCAAGACCTTTATTTCGATGTTCTAATGAAATCCTGAAAAGTACCCTTAATTATGAGAAGTAAATTTTATCTTTTTGCCATTATCTCGAAAACTATCAATTTCTCGAGAAAAATAGTTATTATCAAAATTATAGCTCATAAAATTCTCTATAAAAAAAGTCATTATACTTTTTTTTGTACAACTAATCGTTTTTGAGTGAAACGTGCGGTAATGTTGCAATGTCTACAGTTCGTTATATGTCTATAGTAGTGTGCACATTTTCTCTTTCAGACTTAATTCGCTCTACATGTTCGAAACGATTAATTCCACGAAAAAAGTATAACGACCTTTTTTTGTAGGAAATTTTATGACTACAATTTTGATAATAACTATTTTTCTCGAAAAATTTATAGTTTTCGAGATAATGGCAAAAAACTAAAATTTACCCCCCATAAAAAACGCCCTGGATGAAATTAATTCAGCTTGATCTTAAATTTATGAAGTTTTGCCCTTTTCAAGTCTAATTTTACTGGAATATAAACCTTGTAAAAATAAATTATTAATAAAGCTACATGTTTTAGTTAATTTCAGATAAAGTTTACTTTTACAAAGATACATGATTTCAAAAATTGAGAACATTAAAAAAATGATAACTTTTCTCGATATTTCCGCTGAGGAAAAATCGTCTCTAAATCGCCTCAGGAATCTCCCATTAACGTGTAATACGTAATTCTGGGGTACTCTGTATAATGGGGACAATATTTATACGGTTTGCCCTGTGTATGTATATAATGCGATTGATGTGTGTGAAATAATATAAATTTATCTTCTTGTTAGATAAGATAAAAATGATTTTATTTTAAATATGTCTAGACAGAAAATAAAATTATATGACAATTCATCTAGATAATTTTCAGATAATATTATTCTTAAGATTGCTTATGTAAATACAGTTATAAAAAAATGTAATAAAAATACTATTTAACTATTTTTATGTGCTATGATTCTAAACCAAAATGATCTGGACAAATTATTCTAGACAATTTATTAAAGATAATACTTTTTAATATATATTTTATTATCTATATAAAGATAAGATGACCCCATCTCCATAATTTTATTTAAACACCAGCAAACACTACATACAGATGATAAAAGGGCCAAAAATTATATTGTCGCACAAAATTAAACCCTCTGAACGCAAATGTCTAATCAGACCTGATGACTGATCGCGATAAAATTGTGATTTCCAGCCGTCGTCGACCATCCATATATACATATATTTATTCCCGAAACCGTGCGAACCGGAGGAAGAGAGACAGAGAGAGAGCCGTTATATCCCGCAGTTTCCAATTAAATATCGCCACTAGGGATATCCGAGGTGCGACAGTTGATCTTTCTCATCTCTCCGCCTTCCATCTCGCCCTTCCATCCAGCGTCCGTGTCACTCGCAGAGATCGCAGCAGGTAAACGCGCGAGGCGGCGAGGCCTGCTATCGATCCGCCGATCGTGTAACCGACGGGAATCGATAACTAATACTCATGCAGCGGCCAGCCGGATGTTGCCTTGTTGATAAAGGACCCTGGCGAGCATCAAGGACGCCGCAGGAGGGCCGTAGGGCACGCCGCTACCGGGCACATAATTGATTGGCATTAGCGCGCCTGATTGCCAGTCGCCCTCCTCCAAAATCGTCCCACGGCTGCTTAAATACCGGTCGACGTCTCTCTCTCTCTCTTGCTCCGATTTGAACGTTCGCGACAGTAATCAGGCAATATGACGCGCGCAACCAAGGAAGGTCGATTGACGTGGGTCCGTAACATTGCCTTCTCCTTCATAACGTTGACGTTGAATAAATCCCATATCCTGGGGCTACATACTGGGTGCCTCTGATACGAAATGTATATCTCGACGTCGCACTTTTCTCCCTCGCTCTTGTAAATACGAGGTTCGAGTTTGTGAAATTTTGTACGGGCTGTTGGAGATATGGGTTACATATTTAAATATTTAAATTGGAAGAAATGAACCTAGGACCTATAATTAATATAGCTTCGAAGACTCTTCCAGTGTTTGCTGTTATCTAAATAAAATTATGTAGATGATTATCTAGATGAAACTTTGGTGTTATCTTATCTTTATATAGATCATAAAAATATGTATTAGCTACAGTGTTTGCTGTTATCTAAATAAAATTATATAGATGATTATCTAGATGAAACTTTGGTGTTATCTTATCTTTATATAGATCATAGAAATATGTATTATCTACAGTGTTTGCTGTTATCTAAATAAAATTATATAGGTGATTATCTAGATGAAACTTTGGTGTTATCTTATCTTTATATAGATCATAAAAATATGTATTAGCTACAGTGTTTGCTGTTATCTAAATAAAATTATATAGATGATTATCTAGATGAAACTTTGGTGTTATCTTATCTTTATATAGATCATAGAAATATGTATTATCTACAGTGTTTGCTGTTATCTAAATAAAATTATATAGGTGATTATCTAGATGAAACTTTGGTGTTATCTTATCTTTATATAGATCATAAAAATATGTATTAGCTACAGTGTTTGCTGTTATCTAAATACAATTATATAGATGATTATCTAGATGAAACTTTGGTGTTATCTTATCTTTATATAGATCATAAAAATATGTATTATCTACAGTGTTTGCTGTTATCTAAATAAAATTATATAGATGCTCATCTAGGTAAAACTTTGGCGTTATCTTGTCTTTATATTGATAATAAAAATATGTATTATCTATATTTGTATTTTAGATGGAGGAAAAAGCATTATCTTCACTAAATTATCTAGAATAATTTTCAGATAATTTTGGTTTAGAATCATAACACATAAAAATACTTAAATAGTAGAACTTAAGCAGTAAGCGATAAAAATTTATGAATAATTTTTTATAACTGTGTTTACATAAGCAGTCTTAAAAATTATCTAGAAAATTATCTAGATGAATCACCATATAATTTTATCTTTTATCTAGATATATTTAATACAAAATCATCCTCTTATCTAAGATGAATTTACATATTATTCTCTCATCTTTATCTAGCTAATTTTAAAATCATCTAATTGTAATCACAACATTATCGAAGATACAGGCTATTTATTTATTTTGTAAAATTAATTATTGACCCTTCTGTATCGATGCATAATGTTCACTTTTATTAAAATTAATTGCACTGCGACAATTGTTTTGTAGCTGCTAGTCATCGAACATTTATATTTTAGAATGTACCCTTTGTATTCTGTTTCGGACGGAGAAAAGTCACTTTTAATATTTAAATTTGAATAGCCATAAGTACCTTTTTGTTCAATGATAGAATTAAATGTTAAATTTTCCATTATTAAAAGAGTGGGGGAATCAGAATTTATATGCAAACTGTGGCATGTCGGCGAAAAATATTTTCGGTAAATTGCAGTTTCTCCCATGCGGGTACTTCTTATCTCAGACACCGTGTGTCAACCCTTTGTTCGAACTGCCGAAAAGAAGATTACTCTCAATCTGTACGATGCCGGTGGGAATGAAAGAACTGAAAGGGGATCCCTGGTTCAAAGTGTGAAAAGATCTATGCTTTGATATATGGGTAGGTACACGTTTTCTTTTTTTTTTTTTTTTATCAAGCATATAAGTTCGATCGGAAAATTAAATAAAACAGAGCGGCTAAAAATAAGGCGAGTCGAAAATCATACAAACGTCACGATACATTAAATTAATAATAATCAAATGCAAAGTTCCAGTTAAAAGTTTAACTTCATTCAGTTTCATTTGTGTCTGTTTAGAGAAGACTCGTAAAGTTGGAAATCTATTATTCCACGAAATAATGACAAATTTAATTTTAGCGTCAGCGGCATAAAACTTAGAATTTAAACACTTTAACTCAAAGACAGAGCGGTATATATATATGTATGCTTTATTTGTCGCATCTGAAGAGACAGTTAAATGAATATCTTTAGCGTGAGTCTATTATTGCGAATTGGGGTCGCCTCGTTGAATTACAGTACTTTGTTAACGTCAGAGCAGTACTACAAAGTACTGCTTCGTATTCTTGACTGAATTATCGCGAAACATTATGTTGGAAGCTTGTCAGGAGGCGTCATACTTTCTCTGGTAAATGTTCGGGAGCTTTTCTCACCTGAAGACAATGTCTCCTCGCGAGCCAGCCGATGTGCTGAAGCTGCTGCGGATCCGGAAGTGCTGAGGCCAGTCGTAATGCTTTCAAGGTGAGGGCTGCCAACGCCGAGTGCAAAGCATTGAACCAGACATTCGCCTCGGTGCTGTCAGCGGCTCTCAACCAGCATTCGTGGACCCCGTCAGGTGAGTGCAGCTCGAGAATGCGGCCTTCTGTAACAAAAGAATAAAATAAATAAATGTAACATTCGATAAAATAAAAAATAACAAAGATTGTCACAACTTAATTTATCCATCTTTCCATCGATTTAATTTAACAAATTTTTTTGTTTTTAACATAAAATCGATAGGTTTAAGCTTTGTCTCTATATATGTATTTTAATCGTGGAAAAGCATTTATTATTCTATTCAATTAATAAAAAGAAAAAGATACGCAAAAATGATGTGCGTTTAGGATTCTCTTAAGAAAATGCTGCCGTTGTTCTGTTTTACCGACTTTAAGTTAGGTTAGGTTCACTTTTTATTGAATATACAGATTTAAAAATCCTCCGCAATAAAAGTACTGATAATAATAAATGAGAAACGCTGTCTGGCAACTAATTTTATGCCTCGACATCGATTCCGCACGCAAATATACATACATAATTAATTCAGGCTTTTAATCCTTAATTCTTTTGATACAGGCTTTTAATCTCATTTTTTTTACTTCTGTATTATTCTTTCATGTCACCTTTATTGGGAGTGTCGTATTTTGTGCGCAAATAAACTGCAAAACTTTTGTATTAAATAAGTATTGTTATGAGCTGATGCAAGAGGCCGATAAAAAAACTGTAATTTTTTTGACTCTTATTGTTTTTTTATACAAAATTACAGCGCTCCCCGTTCACTATTATCAGTACTTTACTGTGGAGAAGGATTTTTCAATCTGTATAGCCAATAAAAAGAAAAGCCCTTGAACTCAAAGTCGGTAAAACAGTCATGGTCAGCATTTTTTTAAGCATATCATTAGTTGTGGAAAAATTCTTATATACAATCTTGGATATTAAAATAATATAAATTTCTTTTTTCATCTTTCTTTGATCCTATGTTATCATCATATTTCAACAAAATTATGGAAACAAAAGTTGGAAAGAAATCTGGTGTCCAATTATCAAAAATAATTATCAAAATTACACTTCGGAGGAAATACCGATGTAACTCAAACCGCAATTCCATTCTCGAAAATGTGCAGGATTTAACAGTCCCCTTGCACCGAAAGCTATTGAAAACGCCCATTCGTTTTTTTTTTTTTTTTTTCGTAATCAGGGGTTAGCTTCCGCCAAACCCTCGCATGGCAAAAGCGAGGCAAACGACGGCGCCGAGAATTGAACTTGTGCCCGGCGTCGTTCCTGGTAGCTCTTATAAACCTTCCCTCTTTTCGTTAACACGAAAACTTTAATACGTCTGACATAAATCTCGCGGGATCGGTCACGAAGGCCCGGGAATAAGTTTATAACCCGTAGGTGGTAGTATCCCGAGCTCTGGAGATTGTCTCGCTTCTCGACAGTCCGCATAATTCGTCTACGTACACCGCGAGTGAGTGCCTGGAGAGCCTCGCAATTTCCTGTTTGGCTTCTAGTTTCTAGATTTATTATGCTAATGCTAGACTCGTTTTTCAATGCCAATGATTGCGCAAGAGCTGTTATCGATCTGTCCAATTATCTCTCGCGTGCTTCAATTTTTTTTAGTATTCTGAACGTGTCAGATTTCAAAGCAGTTTGTACATTTTTTTTTCAGAAATGTTCTTTTTTCAGCGATATTTTATTTTACCACAAAAAATAATTATATCAAATAATGTTGCCAAGTTATACAATAAACGACCGGTCCTGCGATTATATTCACGGCAACTTGTTTCATTTAATTTGACAGAAATGTGACAGATGTTACATTAACTACGAAAATAAAATTTAAATTTAAATAATATATAAATAATATTTAAGTTTAAAAATATATTTTTAGGAAAATTTAATAAAGTAAATGAAAATGATTCTAAGGAGAAATAAAATATTTCACGCTAAGAAATATCATACACGCGCGTGTTATTATTTTATTTCATATTCATTTTTGTTTCTTTTTAAATAAATGTATAATAATTTTTATTTTTTCAAATTTACATTTGAATACTTTTTACGTGCTTGACATACATTTTTGCCTTTAAACAATTTTCCACGTTAACAATAATCGAAACAAATTTAAAGTGTTGACTAGACGATAGGCGTTTAAAAAAAAATCAACCTTCAATTGTTGGAGCAAAGAGAAATTCTGAATTTCGCTCATGTATACATATATATATATAGAATATATTGGAGTGAATTTTTCCTCGCACATTCTGCACAGAGAAAAGTTCGATGAACGCGATACACTCGCGAAACTGCGCAGCCATCACGTTCCCTTTCTCCCCTTCAGTTCAGATTCACGTCAAACTCATCGGCATTTCGTACGAAAACGTTATCCCGACGTGCGCTCTCTCTCTTTCTCTTCCGCGATTCCGCATTCTAATCGCCTTCTCCCGCTATCGAGAAACGGAAAGTTCCGGAAGCGGCAAACGTGTGCTGCGAAAGGCGCGGCGGCCGCGTAAGAAAATATTGAATTTCCGATCAAAAGGAAATTACGCTCGAGTTAAAAGCCCCTTTATGTCACTCCCGGGTCTTTCCTCCACCTAAAAAGAGGCAAACGGGAGGACGAGAAACGCCGCGGCGCTCTTCTCCAGGGGACAGAAACATCGGGAAACGTAGCGTGATGTCGAAATGATAGGATCACGTGATTAATGCTCTCTCGTTTATTTTATTGCAAAAAAAAAAGGGGGAATTTAATCGATCGAGAGTACACTCCCCGTTTAATTCTGCGCCCGGCGAAAAATTGATATATCGTGATTCCATCTCTCAGGAAATATCGAATTACGTGTAGTACACGACCGACCATAATTACAATACATGCAATATGTTACATATATAGTTTTGAAACCATATATGTATCCCTAAAATAAATATACACAATTAGAGGCTTCTCGAAGCATTTGCGCAGCATTTCTCCCGTAAATTCGCGTAAATTTGATTACGTCAGCTGAAACGCGCGACCTTTCTATTCCGTGGATATTAAAAGAAAATACTTTTTGACATCAGAGAGCTAAAGAGAGCCATTTGTAACAAGCGCGACGCTTGTCCGTCCAAACGTGTTAGTCACGCGCAAGTAAACGCGCTTAAGGCGAAGAAAAGAGGATCCGCAGAGCCGAGAAATAAAATTTCAAATGCATTCCTGGGTCGAGTGATAATCGGCCATTCTTAAAGGAAACCGCTGGAAACTGCTAACGCCGTGAAATCCAGTTATCCGCGACCGGAATTCTTTTGCCAAAAACCACCCCGACCATCAAAGATGGGGATCAAGCTCGATGTTTAAAAATCCAACTCGAATCCAATAATCAAGTTTCGTTTTCTGACATGTGACATTAACTAACTACGAAAATCAAATTAAAATAGAAATCATATTTAAGTTTAAATTTATTTTTTAGGAAAATTTAATAAAGCAAATTAAAATTGTTCTGAGGAGATATAAAATAAAATTTAATTTCAAGTGTTAAGAGAAATATTGTAAACGTGTTATTATTTTATTTTATAAATTATTTCATATTTATTTTTGTTTTTTTTTTTTTTTAATAAATGTGTAATCATTTTTATTTTTCTAAATTTACATTCTCGTAAAATTTACAGAACTCGAATAATACTCATAAGAAGTAATATTTCATATATCGAATCTGCCCCTCTCGGAATCGATAAAAAAATTAAGCATTTACTTTTGAATAAATATTAGAATTCATTTCCATATTTAATATTAAAAAAAAAAATGAAAATAACAAAATAACAAAAATTCAGAAAGAAAAAATAAAAACAAAACATTTATTAATTATGTCCCTTCCTGGAAAAAATCCTGCAAACGCCCATGTTTGAAAGTAACTGGCTTTTTTTAAGGTACTTATAGGAAAAAATACTGTTTATTTTTAAAAATAATGCAAACAAATGAAAATTTGTAAGACCCGAATCTACTCAGCCATGATGTTGCCTCTTCGTTTCATTATACATGAGAAGAGTACCACGAATATATATGTACGACGTAAGGTGCGGGTCGTATCATGAAAGATAGAGAAAAAAGCGGTTGTTCGAGCGTCTCCGATGCGGCGTCGAATTTTCATCTTATCCGAAAGTTATGCGTTACGTGATTTAAAAGAAGCAGTTTCGCGAATAATTTAACTCTCTGGTAAAATTAACACGTACCTTACACGATATGTACTCGGCGAAACGTGCTTCCGCGTATTTTTCGCGTTTGTATTACGAGAGAAGGGATTTTCTTCGCGGTTTTCCGCATACGCGTGCTTTCTCGCCAGAACGCGCGAAATCTCGTAAGATCTTTCGGAAAATCGCTTGATTCGCATCAACCTCGCCGCAGGAAGGACCCTCATGGTCGTTAGAGCAGGAAAGAGAGAAAGAACGTGGGCGAGGAAAAATAGAACCGCACGGTGGAAAGTAGTGATTGTAGTAAAAATGCGAGAATTCTCTCACTCGCGAGCGAAATATCGTCCGTTTAAAATTTCCCGATTTAAAAAAAAAATTCCAACCATATATTATTTTATTCAAAATTGTCTAAAAAAAATTAAAAAAATAATTACGAAGAAAAAATAAAAAAAAGTCGATATCTGAAAAGATCCTTTGTATATTATCCTATTTTATTCAAAATTTATATTTATTTTATTCGAAATTTGAATTTAAAATAAGAGTAATAATTATAAGCATTACAAAAAAAATTAAAGAAGAGAAAGAAAGTCTCGATGTTCACCAATGCATTCTTTTATTTGTGAATTAAATTTTTGTGAATTGAAAATTCTGAGCCCTCTACTTTCATAAAAAATCTGATATTATACAAACGCATTTCCGCCCGCACGCTTATACGATTTCACACCGGAAAAGAAGTACTTTCGTCAAGACGAACTGCTGCTTCCCGAACAAGATTGCCAGGATCCGCGAAAAATCTGCGAGGATCTCTAAAAAGGAGTGAGAAGGGGCGAGGGCAATAAAACGTCGAAGCGACAAAGGCAGCGAAAGAACGGAGGAAAAGAGAGAAGAGGGCGACTGTGAAGGACGAGAGTTCGCGCACAGTTCCTCGGAAAGTTCAAAGGAAAT